TAAACAGCAAACTGGCAGAATGTCCCTTCAAAAGCGAAAAATACAAATAAATTGGAATCCTCGCAAACAAAAATTCATTTGAAAACGAGACGACTTTATTAATTTCAATAAATGATTATAAAAAATCAAAAACTGCGGCTTGCTTCTAACCTTGGCTTTTAAACGGTCTCTCCTTAAGGCCTCGCTATCTGCATTTTTCGACTCCTCACAGCTTTTAAGCATCAAATTATCACTGTTGTTATCAAGCTCATCGTCATCTTCGTCACCTTCACCAGCAGATAAATATCCATGATCAACAAAAAAACCATCCTCATCATCAGACTCATTCTCCTAAGACAAAAGCAATAGAAACGTTGGAAAAAATTTAAATGAATTTAAAGATACAAAACAGCACGACCAGGTGCTGAAAGAGGAAGAAATAAAAAGTAATTAGAGAGGAATCAAATGTTCTAGTTAGGCAAGTCTTCCAATTATAACTCGTAACTTCCTGTTTAAAGTCAAAAACTACAGTAAAAAAAAAAAGAAAACCTGGCTGCTGAAAAACTGCAGTGCAGCACCTGAGAAAATCAGAAAACTAAAACTGCCTTACTAAATATACAAACCACACACTTCTTTCTCTTCTTCTTCAAGGGGTTCGTCCTTATCACAATCATCTGCATCGCCATCCTCTTCTTCCCATTCCTCGTCAGAATCGACTTCATAGTCTAAAATCTGAAATTGTAAAGTGAACAATACGCAGAGTCATTCTCATTTCCCTAGCTCTATTCGAAACCAAACCCAAAAAAACCTGTGACACTAAACAGACTTTTGTATCTTTTGCAAACGGCCGTCTTCCTCGGATTAGTGTACTCCTTCTCCTCCAAGTACCATAATAAGGTGGTCTGTAGTTGTCATGGAACTGATACAGTTTTGCTTTCATAGGGTTTCTGTAAGAAGAAATGCACATATCTAAAAATGAGTACAACGTACAACTCAGTTCTCCTGAACGCTCGCAATTTCCTCGACCATCAACAAGAAACCGATTTTTTAATTAAAGTAGTATTCAAGTCCCAACAAAAGCAACACGACCAACTGCTAAAATAAAGGCAAGTTACTCCACCCTTACTTTAAATGCACAGCTACTTTACTAAGTAAGACTATTTTACTTCATAAAACCCTCGAAACTCCTCTGTCTACTTCTTGACCTCTTAAAGATTTTGCCTTAAATTCAGTGTTAAAATGAGAACAAGGTTATACAAACAGAGGATAGGTAAAACAGAATAGTCATACTACTTTTGTCACAACTGTATACTGCACTTTCCACTGTAGATGGTCGATGGAAGTGGTAATAAAGAATTTAAAACATCAATTCAACACGCTAATTAACAAAAGTTACTTCATAAAATAAATTCACCTTCGCTTCTTTAGACGTGACGGTAGGTTTGCTAAGTAAGGCGCGGTCTAAAAACATTAACCTGTGATTCTGAAGATGCAAGAAAAAAGAATCAGGAAATATATAGTACATCTACATGTGTCAAGAACACTGTACTTTTCAAAAATTAACTCACGACTAGAGCGTTTAACAAATTTTTATGCTCTAATTCAGAAAGAGCCGGGCGTCGATGGATTGGAGCAACAGTCATACCCTCCTTAATCTGGAATGGCCGAAAAGGACCCTCAATCTGATACAAAACTGGCTGAGAAGTTTTCTCCTTTCTCGAAAAAAATGACATAAAGTGGTTGGAAATTCGTTTCTTTCTCAACGCTTCCGCCTGAAAAAGACTGAGAAGATAATGACTGAAGAGAGTAAAAAATGTCTCGCTTGTATTACGCATAATAAAAGAAATATACTTCTTCCTCACGACGTTTCCTCTCCCGTTTCTCCTCTTCTTCCAGTCTTTTTTGTTCGCGCCTTTCCTCCTCTTCCTTACGCTTCTGTTCGCGTCTTTCTTCCTCTTCCTTCCGCTTCAGTTCTTTCTGCCGTTTTAACTCTTCTTCAACTTTCTTTTTCTCCTCCATCTTACGACGATGCTCTTCACGCTCTCTGCAGTTAATCGCACGTAAAATCACCAGAAACACTTTAAAACAGAATTTTTTGAAATTCTAAATGTTAAGTGCTCCAAAGAAAAAGGTGACGAAATTAGGAGAAAATACGAAACCACATTAGGCCTCTTACTGCCAAAGACTTCAAAAACAAATATAGTAAAAAAACTGTCAATATCAGTCTCCCTTTCTAATAGAATAAGAAGATTCAAATCAAACCTTTCTTTTTTCTCTTTCTCAATTCTTCTTGCCTCAGCAGCTTCTTCCTGAAACAATTATTAACTAAAGGTAATAAATGAATAGCCAATTAGCTAAGAACGTCGAGCTATACAGCCCCACCGATTCATCGGAATTCTGCCTTTTAGTCAAAGGTAAAAACGATACGAGAATAGAAACTAACCCTCTGCTTCAATTTTAGTTGTTTCG